CCCGCCTGGGCTGCATAGTGAGACCATGTTTCAAAAAAATAAAGAAGCAAAAAGTACTGTATTTGAGGATATTTTCATTTGTTCTGTTATTCTGTTTGCTAAGGATATTTTAGGATTCTGCAATAGAAGAACATAAATTATCTGTTGAAGAAGGCTTCTTAGTGAAGGTGACAATTATGCTGATACCTGAAGAATGAATACATATTAAACTTGGGAGTTAAACTTGGGCCAGAGGGATTCATGAGTGTGTGTTTCAGGAAGAAGGAACTGCATATACAGAAATCCTGGGTTGCAGAGTGCACAGGTTTCTGTCACCATATTTTCCCAAACCCCAAAATAAATGCTCATATATTTACCTTTTCTCTTGTTATTAAGTGATCTTCAACTTAATGGAGACCTCTTACTACCAAGTTAGTTTGGTAAAATGTTATAGTGAGCTTTCATTAGGTCTCTCTCAATGTTCTGTAAAGCTTTTGAGGTTGCTTCTTTGAAGGGGAGGCAGAATCTATAGTAAACAACGAGCAGCCTCTATAATAAAAATAATACAAAAAAAGGGACTGTTATGGTAAGGGGTGGAGGAGCATGAAGGAAGAAATAATTGAAATAGCACTAACGTCACAGTGGCTCTAGTTATCATTTCATTTTTTTTTAAATTCTATAACAGGTTGAATTATATGAACTGTATTATGGAGATTTTACTGTAATGTGGCTTTGGCATGAACACGTTTCCTGTTTAAAAGCTAGCTGCATATTCAGCCCTAGAGAATTTAACTGGACAGAAGAATTTGTTTCTGGGAAATATTTATATATATTTGTATTTTGTTTTTTCTTTTGGTTTAGCCTTTCTCAAGATGAAAAGATAAATTTTATGTTGATAATCTAGCATTATGTATTGTAATATAAAAGATTAAAGAAATAGTACACTGAATTTCAGGTCATTCAAGAGTTTGTTTTACTCATTTATTTTTGTGTGATTTCTTTGGAGGATGGTTTTAGATTTTTTTTCCTGATTTACTTTTCTTCTTTAGTGTAAGTAAGTAGAATTCCAAAATGGTTTCTAAGATTTTTGTCTCCCTCTGCCATTCAGTTGCTATTTCGTTGATTTTGTAATACGCACAGGGACATTTTTCTGGGTGAAACATTGGAGAGATGGTTGAAAGATGATGAAGCATCAAAGAGATGTGCTGCTGCCCCTGAAGGATCTGTGGAGTGCTGTGGAGTGGGCCACTTGGGAAAACCTATGAGCCAACAGTGGGAACAGAACGTAATCCCTGGCTGATAGCAGGCATTGGCATTTTAGTGTCAGAAATGAATTCTAAAACTCAAAAGCAAATTTTTCCCTAGTCACATCTCCATTGCCATTTATTACTGGTCTGCCCATGATTTCTGCAGGATTTCTTACCCATAAAACTAAGAAATAATAAATTTGTGTTGTTTTAAATAAGTAAGTTTGAGAAAATTTGTTACACAGTAGTAGAAAACTAAACTAACCTGTTAGATTTTTACATAGCTATATTGCAACAATTAATTAAATGTGGAAGCAACTTTAGAATTGGTCGGTAGGCAAAGGTGGACGACTTTTGATGATAAGGGTCAAATAAACCTAAATGATAAACACACTCATGGTAGTAATGTGATGCCAGTGAGGGTTCACCAGGAGGACAAAAGGTACATGTCATTGGAAACTTGGAGAAGGAGGAATACATAATGTCAGAACACTTCGCAAAATTTGTCTTGTAGTTATGTGGAAAGGAACTTGTGAAAAACTTCTTGTGTATACAGCTAAAGAGATTGCCAAATTGCATGGTGTTCTGCTATTGGTAATAAATGCTTACAGGAGAGATAAATTGTGGGAAGAACAGTTAAACAAACTAATGTCACAGGGCTAGGTCTGAAGATCCCTGAGGCTGAAATAAAGAACTTAACTTACACTTTTAAAATAAGTTTGTAAGTGTGCCTTCTACTCTGTCCCAGCAAAGGAATTCTTAGCAGATGTCAGTGAAAGACAGGAGAAGGATTTATTAAAGGTAGATATAGCATGCACTCAAGAGCAGAGTGTGGGTGCTCAAAGAAAAGTGTAATATACGTAGGTGGGAACTTGGGATTTCTTCTGTGTTTTGGGTTTTGAAAATCTGAGGACTTTAACAATTTGTAGTCTTGGTCTTTTCTCATGGGTGAGAGAAGATGGCCCACCCATAGTGAGATATGATCTATTAATGTGGGAAATCTCAAAAGGATGGTCCATTTTAATGTGTGAAAGGGAATAATTTGTAAGTAAAAAGGGAATGGGCAAACTCCTTTGTGGTTGAAGGTGTTGTTTAGGTTTGTTTTGAGAGAAGGAAAAAAATAAATTGGACTTGTCTTTTGCTTTTTTAAGCATACTTTTTAAATTTTCAGTTTCTTTGTGTCCTTTTTACTTTATATTTTTATCCTACCTTACTAATGTATTTAATGATATTGATAATTCTTAACCTTTCCAAATGGTAAAAGCTGCTAAAAGTAAAAAAATGGTGCCAAAAGTATATTTCAGAGAAGATTGTGTGATTTTTTTTTTTTCTGAAACTTAAGAAAAATCAAAAGATCAGTAGTGTCTAGTCACACAAAGGATCCTTTCAGGAGATTAGATGCATTTCACATCTTAATCCAGATGGTCTGTAGGAAGCCTTGTCACTACTTAGTCACCTCATCAGGAAGACAAGATAATTTCAGAAAGATGTGTGCTTTGGCTTAATGGAGTAAATCCTTATGAAATCCACAGATATTCTTCAGAATTCTTTAGAAAATTATTGTAGCAGAGAAAAATACAAAGAGCTTGGACTACAAAATAGAGACTCTTGGATTCCCAAAATTCTACTTACAGGGGACAGGTTGATGAAACTACTAACTCAGATTCTCCTGTTTTTTATAAAAAAGGAAAGGTGATTTAGAGGGTAGAGCTGAGAAATACAGAGAATTCTTCCTAGGCTTGGAAACTTAATCAAGAAACTAATGTCTGGTTAGATTTTAGAATTGCTTTGGACTACTAATGGTTCCTTATTCTTTTGTTTTCCCATTGGAACTGGAATATATGTAAATATTATCCTACATGTGTTCCACCATTTTATTTTGTAACTGGTGAGGCCAAGTAAATCATCTTCATTTCATGATTCTACAAAAAAACAAATTGTTTCCTTTATAGCTACACTTACCGAATTGAACTATATTTAATTATATTATGTATTAGCACCTGGACCAGATTTAGATTTTAGGCTTTGGGTTGATGAAAAATAGTTGGGATTCTGGACTTTTACAACAGAGATAGAGTTGGAAATATTTAGTGAGATATAGTTAGATGATGAGATAATGAATTTGGGGATTAATTAAATGAGACTCTTGGAATCTTAGGTAATGAACATATTTTGCATTTGGGAGAGGCATGAGTCACGGGCACTTAGAAGGCAGAGTTCTGCTTACCATGGGGAAAATTCATTTTGTTTAAAATTATGTTATAAAATTATTTTAAAGTTAAATGTATTTGAAATTTTTTATTACCTTGCCTTTTGTAACTTTTCCTATGTGCGTTAACTTTTTCAGTTCAGTTTTACAAATGAATTGATAAATTGTATTTTAGCAAAGTTAAATAAAATCAAAGTATTATATGTTTTCCAAACATTTAAGCATGTGTAAGAAACATGGAGACATATACACCTGTTTTCCCTGTCCCTTGGCTTGTGATGCCACATGTTGCCTCAGGATCCTGTCAATAAAAATGACTGTCATCAAGACTTGCTGATGCCAGTGCCATTCTCTTGAACCTCTAAAATTCTTGGAGTCAGTGGTCTTTCCTAGGAATATGTGTCTTGATAGTACCTGCCATCAATGGCCACATCCACCCTGAACACACCTGTTCTCATCTAATAGTCCCTTCCACATTGCTTGTTAGTATTTTGTATGGTCTGAGTGGTATTTCCCGTGAATACTTCAGCTGAGCACATCTCTTCTCAGGTAAAGCCCATTAGTTACACATTCAACCCTCAGGAGGAAATAAAATGATAATGATTAGGATATACTAGGCAGAACAAGTGTGTTACAACAGAATACCATTGAAAAACAAAAATAGGAAAAATGCAATATCTTAGGGCATTGTAAATCAAAGATGCCAAGGATCAGTAATCGAGGAGCCCCTTAGCTGAATGATTCAGGTTAGAATTCATTTCTGCTGTCACCTGGGGTATTCATCATCTGAAGATTTCCTTGAGCTAGAAGATTTGCCACTAAATTCATTTACGTGGCTTATGGCAAAAGACTTTATTTCCTCACCGTGCAGTAGGGCTGCTTATGACATAGCTTCTGCCAAGAGTGAACAACCAAAGAGAAGAAGAAATGTATCACCAGTAATGGAAGCTGCAGTGACTTTGAGAATATAGCTTCAGCAATGGGGTGCCACCCCTCTGTATTTTATTGGTTACATAACCAACACTGACTCAATGTACAAATCACTGGGAGCTATGTTACAGGGTGGCTGTCATAAATCCAGCTAAGACTCACAGTTTCACCATGTGCCAACAGGCTAATGAGCTAAGAATGGCTCCTATTCAGTTGATCATCAGTGGTACATGTATTGACTGACTTATTTTGATCAAATTAGTAGTTGGCCTTACTTTTCTATGCTCATGTTTCTGTGCCCAATTAAATATTTTAATCCCAAAGATATGTAGTACTTCTTCATTTTATAGATGTTGAATGTGGGATATCTAGATCCCCAGTGCTTCCTCAAGTAGATGCTGGGACTGGGGAGGGGTGTTTCTACTTACTTCTTTTATATTAATATTATTGCCAGTAGTACTAATACTTTCTATTATAAAGAATGAATAGAGAATAATTAAGGAATCTGTTGAGTCACTTGTTTTTGTACTTACTGTTAATAACTTTGATTTAACATAGCTATTACTAGGAAAGTCACTAAATATAAATATTACTGCTTGAATGTTAATTTAGTGCTATTGTCTTTTGTATCGCAGGTTTTACAGCCCTGTGACTTGTTTTATCAGGCTACTCAGATAGGTACAGATCCACAAGTGATTGATATATCAGTAAAATCACTTACACTAAAGGTAAGTTAATCATTCAGATCTTTAGTATACTTTTTAAAAATTAGTAAAACCTAGAAATTATTATAATAGCAAGTCTTATGATCACTAAATATAAAATGAATTTATTTTTAAAACTTTTTATGAGACATAATTTTCAAAATATTTAACTCACATTTTTATAATGAATGTGGTATTTTTGTTGTTGACATGTAACTGCTTTTGTAGTTATATGTAATATCCTGATTGTGTAGTTAAAATTATAGTTTAATATTTACAAAATTAGTGTAATATTTTTAAAATTGAAATTAGTTATGGTAATTCATATTTTGTGTAGGTAACAAATTGTATCTATCTACTCTCTTGTAATGGTAATGTTCAATATTAATTCTTCACGATTACTCACCAGATGTAATTCGTATATTTTGAAATAAATGTTTTTCCATGTAGGTTTCACCAGTTATCATAAATACCATGATTACTATAACTTCAGCGCTTTATACAACTAAGGAAGCCATCCCAAAAGAAACCACTTCTTCTGTAGCACAACTATGGGAAAAGAAGGATACAAAGAATTTAAAAATGTGGTTCCTTGAAGAATCAAATGAAACTGAAAAAATAACTCCTACAGCTGAATTGTTACCCAATGGAGAGATGATGAAAATAAATATTGATTCTATTTTTATAGTTCTGGAAGCTGGAATTGGCCATAGGACAGTGCCTATGCTTTTAGCAAAATCACGTTTTTCAGGAGAAGGCAAAAACTGGAGCACATTAATAAATCTCCATTGTCAGCTTGAGCTAGAAGTAAGCATATCTGGTGGTTTTTTTGTTTTGTTTTGTTTTGTTTTTTAGTTTTGATAACGGTGCCATACAGAATATTGTGGGAATCTTACTGAGCTATATTAATTCAGCTTATAATAAAATGGTGGCTTTGTAACTTTTTAAATGAAGTTTACAAATGTGTATTCTTGAGTGATTTCTTGTATGTGTGTATAGTACTTTTATTTTTAGAGTACATATCCACATTGTGTATATTTCAGTTGATTTTATATAAAATATGTTCATTGGGTTTAGAATTCCTATTTTTAAGAATTAAAATTGAATGACTTTTTTCCTTTAAAAGACTAAATTTTTGAATACTTGGATACTCTCTTCAAATAGTAATGTAAACAATTAGAACAAAAATGTTTTGCTTCAGAATTGATCCACATACAATTATTTTCAAATGTATTTTGATTTAAATGACTTGACCTTATATATATATATATTGAAATCTAATCTGATATGTTATGAGAGTGACTATAAAAATTTATAAGCTTCTGCGTTATTTAAGTGCACTGATACAGTTGCACTAACAGTTACCATTGCTGAACTAGATTACAATTTTGTATTCAGTTTATAATTCTGATATTTAGAAGAGGATTTCATCTAGGATGTCCACCTGGTGAGAAGCCTTAAAGCATTCATTAAATCATACAGTACTTGTCCTCAAGGGCGTTTAGTCAGTGGAGGAACTTGTTTTAAAATGTCAGTAATATGTGATAGATGAACATACTGTCTGATACGTTGTTTAGTCTACAAGTCCAAGAAAGATGTTTAAAAGAGGGTATTATCTGAACTAAATTGTGAAAGACAAGTACAGAAACTGTGAGGTTATCCAGGTGATGAAAATGCTGAGAGATTTGAAGCACTGAATGACGTGCAACTAGCATAGCTGAAAGGGCTTGTGGGGAAGGAGGGGCAGCATGGAAGATAATTTTAGAAATTAACAGATGCTTCATTAAAAATAAAAATTCTCTCTTTAGGTTCATTATTACAATGAAATGTTTGGTGTATGGGAACCTTTGCTTGAACCCTTAGAAATTGATCAGACTGAAGATTTTAGACCATGGAATCTGGGAATCAAGGTATATGAGAGATTATTTTCATGTGTGTGTGTGTGTGTGTGTGAGTGTGAGAAGAGTATTTTCATAGCTTTAGCTTCACACAAATTTGAGGAGATACAGTTTTCCTATAAACAGTCTGCCTCTGTATATGTACAATTTCTTTACCAATATCTCCCATCAAAGTACTGTATGTCTGAAGTCTGAAAACTTTTTTCAAAAATCTAGGCTGTCCCATTTAGACACTTCAGTTTGAATCACAGCGATGTTGAAGTTTTCTCATCATGAGGAAGAGTCTGTATTTGACATCTGCGTATAATTTTGAAGTCCAAGACCAGTGCTAGCTATCCTGCTACAAATAATTGTGTAATGTCCTCAGACAAAGGACAGTTATCTAGAATATATAAAGAACTCAAAGGCTGGGCATGGTGGCACACACCTGTAATCCCAGCACTCGGGAGGCTGAGGCAGGAGGATCGCTGTGAGTTCGAGACCAGCCTGAATTACATAGTGAGTTCCAGGTCAGTTTCAACTACATAGTGAGACCCTGTCTCAAAAAAAAGAACTCAAGAAAATCAGCTCCCCCAAATATAGACACCCAATTCAAAAATGTGAATTATATACTAGACATTTGTCTGAATAATGTGTCTTTGCTTTAAAACTTACAACAGACCCTTTAAGAGACCTAGTTTTTAATCAGCATTTGAACGTATGAAGGGAGTAAGACTAGAGAGTGTAATGGACTTACTTCCCTAAAGTAATACAGTATACTAATAGCTACAGAATGGAAGAGGTGAATGTAAATTCAGCTTCAGTCTCCACTCTTAACTGCTATATTATATTGCTAATATCATTTATTAGCATCTGTCATCCTCTTGTAGGTTGTGGTCTATCCTGAGTTTTCTTTGTTCTTTGAAGGGGCTGTCTGTCTGTCTGTCTGTCTGTCTATCTATCTATCTATCTATCTAGGAGACATATTATTTGCTTAAAATATATTATGAGTTTATGTAACTGTGAGAATCAGTTCCCTTAAATGGAAGTTGTGCTTCTTAAAGCAAGAGATTACAATATTGCCAGCATGGTATTTGCTTGATAATGATTGACTCAAACTGAAAATTTTCAGGGGCTTAAAGCGACTTAAAGTAACAATAAAACTCCCTAGCTTAGTATGTGTGCCTATAACTGTAGTAAATAATTTCATTTTCTAGATATTTTAGATGAAGAACTTGTAATAAAAATTCCATTGGTGGTTTTTAGGTGAATATGCACATGCAGTGGATCTGTTAATTCTAAATTTAGGAGTCCTGTGTTTATAACACTGTTCTGCTCCTGTTGTCTGACTTTGTGAGTCCTTAGGTTCCTGTTCTTTATTTGCATGACTAAAGGACTACTTTACAGTACTCTTGGCTGTGTTTTTGTGAAATATGTGCTTTTAATTTACATTCAAATCTCACATACATTTAGTGATTTTAGAAGATTTTTTTCTTAAATTGTGCTTGCCATATCACTGAGAATGAGAAATTATTTTGTAATATAGTACTGCCCCTGTCCTTTGTGACCTGAGTTGGCACATCCAGGTATTTCATTTCATTATGGCAGAGACAGTGAAGCACATAATATTTAAATTGTTTTCTCCAGTGGTATTGAAATTTATCTAATTTTTTTTTTAACTATGAAAAAAGAGTGATAATGTGCTCCTAGATGCAAATTATTATATGTCAATTATTTATCATTTTAGATGAAGAAGAAAGCCAAAAAGGCCATAGTTGAGTCTGATACTGAAGAGGAAAACTACAAAGTGCCAGAGTATAAAACTGTCATCAGTTTCTATTCAAAAGACCAATTAAATATTACATTATCCAAGTGTGGCCTTGTAATGTTAAATAATTTAGTCAAGGTAAGAAACTTGAAGCCTTAAATGTTGAGATACTATTCTATGTTGACCCTTTAAGTAAGTAAATCTATCATTAACTTCATTAATTGTCATGTGTCCCTTAGTATTCTGCTTATCATTTAGTTTTCCACATTTATTTAAGGAAACTTTCCCTTACTAGGCATTTACAGAAGCTGCTTCTGGATCTTCAGCAGTCTTCATAAGGGATCTAGCACCATTTATGATTTTGAATTCTCTTGGACTTACTATATCAGTTTCACCAAGTGATGCTTTTAACGTACTGAATGTGTCTATGGCAAAATCATATATATTGAAAAGTGAAGAGACTTTAAGTATGGATTATGTGGGAACTAAGGACAATGATCATTTTAGTGCAATGACCAGTTTAAGCAGCAAACTCTTCTTCATTCTTCTTAGTAAGTTTTGTATTTCCTCTTCTTGAAGCTTTAATTACATTTGCATGCCATAGTACCCATTTGTAGTATATTAGTATTGATTTGTTTTCCTTTTAAGTCTCTTTTGTAATAGGTTTGGCAGCCTCCCTCCCTTTGCAGTGCTTTGATTCGTTTTGTCAGTAAGTTTTTGTATTTCCAAATACTGACCTTACTATAATCTCCTGCATTAGTGAGAGCATGTGCTGTTATGGGGAAGAAAAATATTAGATCTCATCCAGCTTTTATAGTATCATAGATATTGGTAATAGATGTTTTAACCACATATGATATAACTTGGTAGATATTCCACCAATTTTGTAGATGAATGAATTCAGAAAAGTTTGAATCTGTGCAAATGGTTTTGGGATTTGTACATGGTTTTTAAGTAAAGGTTTTTTCCTTTGTCTTTTCTGACCCACAGTTTTTCATTTGTATGGGAGGTAAAAGTATATAAATTCTTAAGTTATCAGAAAATCTAGCCATTATGAATTTATCAAATAACCTAAAACCTTACTAGTAGGACTTTCTGATATTCTGACATTTAATTACTGAGACAGAGAGCATTATTTAAAGGATAATTAGAAATAGGGATGCAGGCTGCTAAAACAGCTAGTTCTCCTATTAAGGAAATAATGTGTGGCAAGTGTTTCAGGAATAGTCAGAGCATTGCCAATGTTCTTTTTACCGATTTACCTCTGTTTTTTTTGTTTTGTTTTGCTTTGCTTTTGAACTGACATTTATATGGATGTAGGAGTGAGTAAAATTTATACAAATAAGTAATTTTACCCCAACATAATGTGTCTATTAGGCATATATATTCAAAATTTTGTATAACCAAATCCAAGATACATCTAAAAAGTGACACAGGTAAATGAAAAAATTAAAAACTGAAGAACAGTTAGGTTGGTATTTGCCAATATGTGAAAGTATTAGACTTTGGTTATTATGACAGCAAACCATAGATCAATGTTCTTGAATTTTTTAATGCTTCTCATTACTCCGTTGTTTTTAAAAGTTTTATTATTATTTTAGGTTCAACTCCTGAATGGTTTTTTTCAATTAAAATTTTTTGTTTTAGTAAAATGGTATGAAGATTTTATGTCAGTACTGTGGAAGTAAGTGGTGGCTTCTTAAAGTATCCCTTTGTATGGATTACATCCAAAGACTTCAGTGACCTAATTATGTTTAAGACCATCAGCTAATATTTACCATGTACCTAAAATTAATATATAGTGGATTATAATAAAAATTTTCAACTGTTTTTAATTTAGCACCTGTCAACCACTCTACTGCTGATAAGATTTCTTTAACAAAAGTGGGACGCCGTCTATACACTGTAAGACACAGAGAATCTGGAGTTGAAAGGTCTATTGTTTGTCAGATTGATGCAGTGGAAGGAAGTAAGAAAGTAACAATCCGCTCACCAATGCAGGTATGAAGGCATCAATTTTAAGACAGGCTTTATTATAACTGTCAATGAACTAATAACTTTAAAAATAGATTCTTACCCAAAAATTAAAAACTGTAGTAGAAATCCAGCTAATATTCAGAGAGAACATCTCATGACTAGTAATTATGCTACTGAAATATAACTAGTGGGAAAATTTCACAGTTTTTTATAGGACTGTTTTTAAAATATCTTTGTACATCATTTTTCTCTGATAAAATATACATATGTCTCTTTATGGTAGGAAATTTTAAATTATTTATTAGATTATTAATTTTATTAGAGAATGACATTTATTGAGAAATGTATAATATACTACATATATTTAACACAGTAATACACTTATGAACCTTCAAAGTATTTAAATATATTCACATATATTATTACTCAAAAAAACTTTCCCCTCCTGCTACTTTCCCATTTCTGCACATCCACTGATCTATTCTCACTATACATTAATTACTTACTCCTGAATTTTAAATAAGTGTATTGAAATACAGAATAAAATGGCTTCTTTCATTCAGTAAAATCTCGTATCAATTTCTGTATTGTTACATGAAGCAAGTTGTATTTCCTGAGAATTAATCTGTTTTATTGAGGTATCACATTTCCATTTTGAGTGAACTTTTCTATATGTCAAGAGATAAGGATTGAGGTTCAGGTTTTTACATATGGTTACTCAGTTGTCCAACCCGGATTATCTTTGTCCTATTGAATTGCCTTGCTATTTTTATCAAAAATTAATTTGCCATATATACTGATGGTTTTTTTCTGGGCTCTGTCCGTTTCATTGATCTGTTTATCTTTATTCCAGTATTACACTATTTTGATTACTATCTTAATGTAAGTCTTGAAATTAGGTAGTACAAGTTTATTCTTTTGGCTCTGATAGGTCCTTTCCATTTTCATTTAAATTTTAGAATCAGATTATCAGTTCTTTTATTAGAACTTTGGATAAAATGTATTTCAAATTATAATTTCTGATTTTGCACTACCAGCATTTAGAAATATAGTTTAATTTTATATTCACCTGTGTTTACAACCTTGCTAGCTAGACACATATATTTGTTCTAATAGGTGAGACAGTTTTGTAGATATAAACAGTTGTGATATTAGCAAATATATTTTTTCTTCATCTTTTTCAATCTGTTTATTTTTTTCTTACCTTTACTATTGAAATAATTTTTAAAATTTTGTTAATGTGAATTACATTGAGTTTTACACGTTAGATGAGCCTTACATTCTAAGGATAAGTCTTACTTGATCATGAAGTATTATCAAACTGTCAGTATACTGTTGTGTTTGTTTTACTAAAATTATGTTTAGAACTTTTACATTTATGTTCATGAGGAGTATTAACAGTTTTGAGATCTTGTAGGAAAGTTTATATCAGTGACAAATTGAATATAAAATTTATTTGAAATTATGGTTAAAATTTTTAAAACTTGGTTGTAAAACTTATACTTTATGTCTGTTTGAATTTTCTGAACATTGATTTCTGGTTTGATACAGCCTCTTTTCTTTAGAAACCTTTTTCTTTTCCCACTGGGAAGCAAACCACCATATTTTTTATTTACTTTTTAAAATTTTTATTGGTACATTTAAGGTATACAATATGATATTCATAATTGGAAATTTACACTTAACATAATCCATCTTGGTTCTTATTATTTTCTCCATTCCCCTGCCTTCCCAGCAACCCCTCCACCAATCCCTATCTACAAAGACTTTCTTTCCATTTTTTTCTTTTTCTCATGTTAATTGCATTCCCTTCTTTCTTTTCCCCTGTGCCTCTTTTTCCCCCTCCCCTTTGTGGAAAGAAAAGGTAGAAACATTTTTTAATTGTATTTTTTATTGAGAAATTTTTATAGTATAGACTATCCATCATATGGATTATAACAAATGTTGACATTTTAAATTTTACCTTAAAAATTTAAAAAAAAGTTTTGAAGTCACCTATTTCGCTTTCTGCAGTCTGCATTCCCTCTTTTTCTTTCCTAGAAAAAAAATACTATTATAGTGACATGACATAATATATTTCTTTTCCTATATATTTAAAATTCTTGAGCGTATCTGTTAAATATGTATTATTTGTGTTTTCAGCTATGGTTGCATATTACATGAATATGTTAATTTTAAGAAATTTTTATTAATAATTTCACTATCCATTAGATTCTCTTTTTTCCCTTAAAAATCAGTGTCGTAGTGAACATGACTGGCTTTTGGTACACGTATATAAATATTTCCCTTGGTATGTAACAAGAATAATTGCTAAGCGCTAAGGTGAATTCCATTCTACTAGATTTTTCTGAATTATTTTCTAAAGTTTTTTATTTACATTTTTACTGGTAATGTATGAGTGTGCTATTTTCATCATTTGTAACTGTTAAAATGCCAGACTTCTGATTTTGCCAGTCTTTTAGTGTGAATGTAATTACTGTATGTGATTATTATTTTAACTTGTATTTTATTGATTCCTAGATAGGTTACCTTTTTATCTGTTTCTTAGTAAAACAGTTTTTCCCCTCTTTTGAATTATTTGCATTCTCCTCTTAATTGCAACTTAAAGAGTTTTAGGATTTTTGTGTGTACCTCACTATGCACTATGCATCCATTTTTTTTTTTTAAACTGGGGTTCAAACTTGGGTCCTTGCACTTACAAGGCAAGCAGAGGAACCACTGAGCTAAATCCCCAGCCCTGCTCATTCTTTGATAAATAAATCGCAGACATTTCCTAGCCTATGACATGTTTTTTTGCCTTCATCCCATAAATGTTTAAAATTTTGATACAGCTTTTTCAATGAATTTTCTATTTTTATCTGAACAAAAGCATGTCTCTAAACAAATTAACCTCTACCCTAATGTCAAGAAGACATTATTTTACTCTCCTCTAAGATGTTTAAAGTTTGAAGATTCCTTTTCTATAAAACTGGATACACTGATGTAATATTTATTATTAATTGTTATATATTTATTTCTTCTAATTTATATGAAAAAGACATGGTGCACACAATACTCTCTGTTGGGATATTTTTAGAAGGACATTTTAAAAAATGAATTTAGGTTCTTTGATTAATAATATTAAGTACAATATCATGTGTTTTTTTTTTTTGTTCCTAGATTAGAAATCATTTTTCAGTCCCAATCTCTATCTATGAAGGAGACACTTTATTGGGAATTGCTTCACCTGAGAATGAATTCAACATACCATTAGCATCTTATCGGTGATTTCATTTTTTTGTTTATCTTCTTTTATAGAATTTTTATGGATATTTGTGTTTTAAATTATCAAATCTACCTTATTAAATATCTCATCTAAGTTATTTAGATTTCAAGGCACTTAAATACCTCTCTTTTCAAGAATAAATATTAATGTAAATTTATGCATTTAATTTATACCAGGTAAATTATTTATGCTTTTACTAATAAATGCAATTATTACTTAGGTGATTCTTTTTAAAAAGAAATATTATTTAATGTATTTATACTATATAAATTATATTTTGTATCAGTAAATGCAGTTATTTCATTCTTGCAGTATTAAACATCATAGCCATTGTCATACATGTTCATGACTTTTAAAAATATCTTAAGGGAATATGATAGGTAGTTTGGGTATTTATATATCATGAATTGAGCTTTACTTTTAAAAGTCTTTATAACAGAGTTTTTAAAAATGTTTTTAGAAAACAGTATTTTATCTCTTCATTTATATATATATATATCTTAATTATTCAAGGATAGAGTTTTAATGTAAATGCATTATTTTTTGATATCTACTTGATAATAAGTATATTTTTAAAGAAAAGATTTAACAAAATAGTGATCTTGTCTTATAATCTGAATTTAATATGTTAAATATTGCTCAGGATATTTAATGTGGAACTGAAAATAATCTCTTCTATGGAAATTGAGCATTGTAATTTTTTAAAATACTATTTCAAAACATACACTAGAAATGGATACTTTCACCGGTGCTACAGGAAAAAGAAAAAATGGCAAAGCTACAAGTAGTTCTTAACTGTTTCCTACCTCTATTCATTCTGACTCAGGCCAAGAAGTTTAGTATAGGATAGTGGTGGCGAACCTATGGCACATATGCCACAGCTGTTTGTTATCATTGAAAACTCTAAAAAATTTTTTTATCATTGGGGTAGGATTTCTAATGCTCACCAAAGTCTAGCATGTTTGGCCATATACTTTCATATGGATCTACAAACACTAGTGAGTGTTTTGTTGCTTATTTCAAATATGATGAGCAAGGAATTATTGAGAGAACAGTGACAATAAAATCATTGTTTATAGTATCTGACTTATCTTCTAGAAAGGATTTGGGGACAGTTAGAGACTGGATGAAGTTAAAGATATATTTAAATCTTTTATAAAGAACTTTAAATTTATTTTTTCTTATAAAGTAGTTAATGGCATTCTGCTTTTTTAATAAATTTCTACTATATATCTATTGATTCTGAGCATATTAGAGATAATAGTATTGTTATGCTCTTTTGTTCAAGACCCGTATTAATTCACTAAACACTGATGAGGACTTCAAAAGATTCAATGATTAAAGTGTTAGCTTGAATATCTTTTTTTTTTTGTACAGTTGTTTACATTTTGTTTTTACACCCTCAACATCTTTTGTTTTGTTTTGTGTTCTGTTTGTACCGGTGATCAAACTTAGGACCTTGTGCTTGTGAGGCAGGTGCAGTGCCACTGAGCTAAATCTCCAACCCCTCAATATCGTTTTTTGTGCAGTGCACCTTGTTTATACAGTACTGTAATTTTTGCTTATTGAACTGTACAGTGCTATAGTTTTATGTTTTGTACATTACAGAACTGCATGTGAGAGTAATGTAAATAAAAACACAGTCATCAAAAAATACTAATTCACTACATAACAGCTAATCTATCTTAATCATTAGTACTACTACTAGTGAGAAGCCAGTTTGGTGTTTGCATAATCTAGGTGATTTTAATATAATGGGTATACATCAGTTTACTTAAATATTTAAGAAATTAGGCATTAAGGTAAATGGTTACCTTTCTCTATAGACTTTAAATATACTGATTTCTAAGTTTAATTAAATACTTAGTATTTTGTTGTGGGTGAAACACTATAGATACTAAAATGGATTGGATGGGACTATTACCATTGAGAGGTCGATATATTATGTAAATATGTACATAAGGTTGGAAACAGTTGTCGAGAGTTACAGAAAGTGTTACAGTTACAGGAAACTTTGGAAAACAAAGGAGCAATGATTGACCCCTGGTGGTACATGAAATTAAGGTAAAATATAGTACTTTTGAGATGAGATTGGAAGGGCAGTCTTAAGTGGAAGGAATTGCATGAAAAAAAGGAGGAATGAAAGGATAGGAAGTTTGTATAAGGTTTGTACACTTGGGATTTCATTGTAGTGTAGTATGAAGTACATACTGGAAGGTGGAATTGAAAAGTAGTTTGAATTTAATTAGTCGCTCCCTCATTTTTTTATTCCTACTTTTATAAATTTTACCCCTACTTGTTAATATCATCTGTTTTCTTTCCTGTTTCACATTTGATGTTTTTCTCTTTTAAAACCACAACTATCTCCTTTCATTTAGAATCTCCTGCTGTTGATCATCTTTCTATTCTGTTTTGTCTTCTTTATTCACTTCCTGAACTTTCTTTTAACTCATATATTTTTCTAACTTAAATATTTCCTTCAAAGCACAATTCTTTGGGAATGTTTTTAACCTCTGCAAAACACCGTGTAGCCTATCTAGAAAGGGTTGACTACACTGTCAGGTACTAGCCCTTCTCTAGTCATACATTTTTTGTGTTTTGGTACCTATCACAATGTAGTAGTCTATATTTCCTGGTTTGGAGTAAAAAATCTTATTTACGTATTTCAGACCCAGTAAATGTTTCGATCAACTAAATAAGTGTGTTGGCTTTATTTTAATTTGTAGAGACATAATTTTTCTTTAAATATTAGGAGAATGAAAAGTACAATGAAAATTATAGAAAAATATAAAAGTAGAATAGGCTAAGTCTAAAACTGATGTGACAAATCTGTGTGTGCATCGGGAGAAGAAGGAATAGTCAGTATTGTTTTGGTCAATTGTTAGTATCTGAAAGTCACTGAAAAAAGATGCACAGCATAGTGGGTATGGACGCTTCAGTGTTCAGTTTAGCAAATTTAAGGTACCACTAGATCTCATTATAGGTATATGTAGTAGCTGTTTAAAATTTCAAATAGAGCTTAGGAATGGAGATACTTTCAACAGTTTATTTTAAAAAGGATAGTCACGGGCTGGGAATTTAGCTCAGTGGTTCTGGCACCTGCCTCGCAAACGCAAGGGCCCAAGTTCAATCCCCAGTGCCCCAAAATAAATAAAACAAACAAGTAAATAAAATATAGTCACAATCATAGCCTATTATTTTTACAAATAAAAAATATTTCTGTGGGCTGAAAGTGTAATTCACTGGTACAGTACTCAACATGTGTGAGGCCCTGGTCTTTTGCACTGCAAGAAAAATGTAAAAAAAAGTAATATTTCACAAGTCTTTATTCTTAGACATAGCTTAGATTAAAAAATCATTACACCTGAGAACATTGTTGAAATGTAAATGAATGTGATATTCAAATATTAAGACTAATAATGTGATATCAAATGACTTCGTTACATTTTCTTGCAACCATTATTCTGCATTTATACTCTACATATCATTGTCCATTGAAACATTCGTTTACTTTGGATGGCTTATAAATTTTTTAGTAGAAAATTCTTAAACATTTTATTAACTCAGTCATGATGTTTACTTCTTGCTAGGACCACATTCCAGGAAAGCCAGTTTTTTTATTAAATGTGTAAGTCATAGATGATTGTTGGTGGTTTGCTTTGCATATATGATTGTTATGATTGTGTGTTTTCTGTAAGAACCCAGTTATCTTATAAGTGTACTTGTAAAGTGTAAGTTAGCGATAAAAATATTCTTTTTAACAAATAACTTTGTTTCCAGAAAATTAAGATGATACTTATTTATCTTATCTAGTTCTAAAAGATATATGAAAATGTAAACATTCATTATACAGTTATGGAAATAATTTTATTCTAAAGCTGCAATCATACCATTTATTTTCTTTCAAAGCATTTTTAAGTATATTGTTTACACTTTTATGTAGATCATTTCTTTTTCTGAAGCCAGACGACGAGGACTATCAAATGTGTGAAGGAATTGACTTTGAAGAAATTATAAAAAATGATGGAGCTGTTCTGAAGAAGAAATGTAGATCTATGAACCCTTCTAAGAAATCATTTATTATTAATATTGTTCCTGAAAAAGATAATTTGACATATCTATCAGTATATTCAGAAGACGGTTGGGACTTACCATACATAATGCATTTGTGGCCACCAGTGCTACTCCAAAATCTTCTTCCTTACAAAATTGCTTATTACCTAGAGGTATGCTGGAACTGGGGAAGCAGAGGGGTCAGGGTTGTTGGGGAAGTATTCCTGACTTTGATTTTGTAACTTGAATTATTTAAAATTGTGAGCAGTAAAACAAGTTTTGAGGGCCGGGGATTTAGCTCAGTGGTGCCGTCCCCCACCTGCCTTGCAAGTGCCCAGGTCCCGAGTTCAATCCCCTGTACCAAAAAAAAAAAAGTTTCAAAGTTGTAACATCGGTTATAGTGCTAGTAAAGAATAACAAGTACTGTACAGATATTCTAATGGAAATGTTTTAATCATGTATAAAAATATAATTTAAAAGAAATGTTTTCTACTAATTTATCTTAGAAATCTGACTACTAAGGTAAATGCAAATTATGTATCATATTATAAATGTAATACACGTCCTTTAAAAAATGTACAGACTATAGATGAGAAAATTGCCTATAATCACAATCTGAAGATATTACCTATTTGAGGAGAGATCTTTTTTCAGTCTTTTTCACATAGATGAATTTTATATGTGTGTTTAATGGTGGACACTAACTTTTGAAACAAGTATGAGAATCAGTGTTGAAATAAAACTAAAATACTAGAGTAAATAATTTTTGTACTTTATATAATTTTTTTAGTCTTAATTCTATAAAAGTATCACATGTTCTAGAAAGATGTTTTTCTCTTAAATGTTCTTTGTCATATTCATTGTCATTCCCTCCTGTCGTTATAACAGGAATCTCTTTTCTGGGATTTTATGAGAATACTCTGTTTGTTGTACTTACCTGATAAAAATGGTTCTTCACTAAAATATACTAGTTCTAGATTTAGTTTATTTTGATAACTACTATATGTTAAAAATTCTGATACATTTTTGGGTGAATATCTGTTTTTCTGTTTGGGTAACAGCATTTAAGAGTTCGCACATTGCTGTCAAATTTGAGATTGCATCCTCACTCATTTACTAATTGTGAAATCTTACATAGGCTGTATTCTTGATCTAAATGTTTTTGGTTTTTTTTTTAATAAAATGAGGATAATTATAAAACTTGCATGGTTGGAACATGGAGAAAACCAAATTTGTTAGAGTATGTAAAGAATTTAGCACATAGTTGTCATTTATTAACTATTTCTAACTCCATCATCATCATTATTTGTGGGATATTTTTAGCATGTAAAAAATCACAATTGACATTACATTTGCTTTAATGAATTTACAGTGTTATGATTAAACTTCCTATAATACTAGGAAGGAGTCAGGAAAGATACTGGAAAAGTTGGTGAGTTATACAGATATACTATGTACATTTCCATTCTCAGAATTTTTAACACTTTTAGAGATCACATTCTGCTTTCCAGTTTCCAAAGGATATGATTTTTTTTTTTTTTTTGTACCGGGGATCGAACTTGGGTCCTTGTGCTTGCAAGGCAGACAGCGGAACCACTGAGCTAAATCCCCAGCCCAGGATATTATCTATTTTTATAAAGACAATTTAACTATGATATAGGGAAAGAGACTATAGAGGGCCTGTGTGATTAGAAAACTCTCATAGATATTAGAGCTACTGTAAGTGTGGGTGGACAGAAATGAACAATTTTGAGAAATATGGAAGATATAATATAAACATTAATTGGAAAACAGCAAAGGAACTGTAGAAAATTAAAAATGGAAGGCAATAGGGTTCAGTTTTTTTTTTGATTACCATCAGTTTTCTCCTATGTTTTTCATTGTTTTCAAAACTATAATCGCTAATAGATAAGATTGTTTTTTTTTAATTTGGTTGTTTTACTAATTATAGAGTTTTATGTATTTAATTTTCAATTAAGTTTTACATTATGTTATTTAATCTTCACAGTAGTCCTTTGAAGTAGTTTAGACCAGTTTACAAATGTTATCCAAATCTAGATTAACTATAGTACAGTTTATGCAGTTTGCTAACTTAAAACTTGAATGTAAGTCTTCTAACTTGTTGTGACAGGTATTTTTAAGAGCATTTTGGATAGTGTTTGGAAAAATTAAATAGTATTTGGGGCCATATTATTCAAAGACATTTTTTAATTTATTGCTTTTCATTACAGGGGATTGAAAACACAGTTTTTACTCTAAACGAAGGACAGTCAGCCCAGATTAGTGCTGTACAAATGGACAAAGCCAGACTACATTTAAAATTACTTGACTATCTTAATCATGATTGGAAAGGTGAATATCGCATAAGATCTAATCAACAAGACATTAGTTTCATCACTTTTACCTCTGTTACAGAAATGGAAAAGATTGACTTAGATATTGCTATCCACATGACTTACAATACTGGTCAGACTGTGGTGGCATTTCATAGTCCGTATTGGATGGTGAATAAAACTGGTCGAATGTTACAATACAAAGCCGATGGAATTCATCGAAAGCATCCACCTAATTATAAAAAACCAGTTCTCTTTTCTTTTCAGCCAAATCACTTTTTTAATAACAATAAGGTATGTAACTTTTTTCTAACTTTGACTCTTCAGCTATTTGTCACTCCTTTTCAGTTTTTAAAGTTCTGAAGAATAAAATAAAATTTAGGTAGAAATAATATTTATTAAATGTTTGAGGTTAAAATTAGCATTTAATATTGATAAAGGTTTAGTATGTTAACAATACAATATTTAGTTCAGGATGAAAATAAAATGTATCAACTGAAGTATTTCTGAAGATAACTAATATATTTCAAACGTTTTTCCCTAGGTTCAGCTTATGGTAACTGATAGTGAATTGTCAGATCAGTTTTCAATTGACACAGTTGGTAGTCATGGAGCCATTAAATGTAAAGGCCCACAGTTGGATTATCAAGTGAGTTTATTCTGTGCATAAAAAACTTTTATTTAAAGTGTATCTATTGGTTATCAAATTTTTAAAGTATTAAAATTTTTGAACTGTTATTTTTCTTCATAGGTTGGTGTTACTATAGACCTCAGCAGTTTTAACATTACAAGAATTGTGACATTTACCCCTTTTTATATGATTAAAAACAAAAGCAAGTATCATATATCAGTGGCTGAAGAGGGAACTAATAAATGGCTCCCTCTTGATTTGGAGCAGGTGAGTAGATGAATTTAAAAAATGTACCTCTTCAGGTTCTCCATATAATATTTTAACCTTCCTCCACCCTAGCTTTGTTTCAGTTCCATGAACTTTCACTGAGTTTTTGTGGTAGGCTGTAGTTAATTGTTTAAAACTGGAACTTGCTGTCTAGGAGCACAGAGCCAGGAATGTAGATGTCTAACAATTACTAACCAATTTGGTTAAATACTGCAATAGAAGGATGGATATACATGGTATAAATGCATCCCCAAGAAGCTGTTAGGAATTCCTTTACAGAGTAGGTTAAGACAAACTTTGGTTCATGCTATTTGAAGAAGGTAGGAAGTGTGAAATTTTAATTCTAGGTCATTAGAATGCAATTTTAATTCTAGAACATCATTAGCTGTCAGGCCTCTGGTTAAGTTTTTTGAATGATTGAGGTCGATAGAATATTTTACTTTTGAAATAATTTTATTCTCAATGTAAGAAATGTGTTTACTTAATCACAGTTTTTTCTTGCACTTAAAACTATCCTTGTGGGAACATTCTCTTGAAATTTTTAGAATTTCCTTAGAGCAGATTTTGAAGATAATATTGGTTTGTGTTTATCTGTAAAGGTTTTATCATTTTTTATGATAGTTTTTCTTGATATCAATTTTAGATGGATATTTTCAACATTTTGTATATGCTCCATTACTGTCTCTACCACTTTTTGTCAGCTTTATTTGAGTTTATTGGTACATTTTAGGGATACAGTACAGTTACATTCATTGTTGGGATCTTGTAGCTGTACATGACAAGTCTTGGTTCTCATTTTTTCCCCTTGTCCCTGCCCTCCCTTCACCCCCTCTTCTCCCCATCTACAACCACTTTATTTCCATCTTTTCATTATCTCACATTTTTTTTCCCTTTTTACCCTTCCCCTACCCGTCCCACCTTCCCTACACCTCTACCATTTTTTGTTGAAAATTATGTGGTAATTATGCCATTTCTTTGGAAGTAGCTTGCTTTCTTTCTCTGGCTCCCTTGGAGGTTTTTCTTCTCATTCTCTTTAATATTCATAGTTATATCACTATGTATCTACTTACATGTTATTTGTTATTTATCCTACTTGAGATTCTTTACTCCTAGATCTGTGGATTAGTGTGCTTCATTTTTCTGTAAAACTTCACACTAGTGTCTCTAGACATTGCCTCACTTTTGTTTTTCTGTTTTCTCCTTCTGGCTCTTTACTTAGACATGCTAGATATCTATATTACTAACTCTATTATCTTTTCCATCTGCTTACCTCTCTCTGCTGTGTTCTGAATAAATTCTTCATGTCTCTCTCACTTCTTTTTAATGTTTTTCATGTCTAAATTGCTGTTTAAGACTGCAACTAAATTTTTATTTGAATATTTATAGTTCTTATTTCCACAAATTTCTCTTTTTTTCAGATCTGTTGATTCTTTTAATAAATATTTTTATGGACTTCTTGCACATTTTGCAGTGTATCTGTTAACAAAATCACAAATTTCTATCCTTATGTAGTTTTCAATTCAGTGAGTACAAAGGGAAGCATAATACCATAATCAGTAAAATACATAGTACATTTAAAGATGACAAGTCTTAGCTGGGTGTGGGGGTGCACGCCTGTAATTCCAGCACTCTATCGCTGTGAGTTCGAGACCAGCCTGGGCTACATAGTGATTCCAGTTCAGTCTCAACTACATAATGAGACCCTATCTCAAAAAACAAAACAAAACAAAAAAGAAACCCACAAAAAATAAATATGATAAATCTAGTAGAAAAAATAGAAAATAGGCAAAATTAAGGGCATTGAGAGTTCTGAAGAACAAGAATTGGACCATAGTTTTTAGTAAAATGATCAGGACAGGACTCATTGAAGTCTTGTTTGAACAAAGACTTGGAGGAAATGAAAGAGTGTCAAAAGTTCAGCTGAGCAGGAGAGAATGGAACTGACAGAAATGAGGAGCTGACAGAAAGAGTTGTTAGGATGAATGAAAAACCTTTATTTACTTCGAGTAGTATAAACATGAGGCTAAATCAGAGAAAACACTCATTACCTTTTTTTGTTCATTTTTCTCACTTAATGATACCAGTGAAGGGTAATGTGGACTGGCAGACGTGGGGTTGGCTCCAACAATTTTATGAACCTGAGAGGAATAGAGGAGGGCAATGGGGAGGAACTAAAAGAAAAGTACTGAGCACTAAGAAAAAAATGTCTTCAAAATTTTTGCTATCTTTTATCCCTTTTGCATGTATTGTAATGCTAAGGTTGCAGGTCTAGCTTTTCTTTGCTTTATATATTTCACAGATATTTTTCCATATGTAACAGTTTTTATCTTGATTTATATGTGTCTCACAGATATTGTTGAATCTTGATTATCTTTTCAAAAACAACCTATAGACTCAGCAGTTCATATTTTCACTATGAAATTACAAATGCCATGACAGCTTTTTAAAATTTTACTCTCATTGTTTCTTTTTTTTTTTTTAATTTCAGCTTAAAATAAATTTTCTTTTGCTAGTTTAAAGTTTTATATTCTGATTTTGGCATACTATGGTCAACCTTACCTTAAGATACATGCCCATAATTATTACCTCTCTTGATTTGTTAAACTTATAGCTCTGTTTTCTCACTACAAAAGACAAGAATTTTAGCACTTTCTAAAGACCCAAAAAGTCCTGCACATAACATTTAAAAATGACAGTATACATTATTAATTATAGAAGATATACATTAAGCCAGTATTATCAAGAAACAACACCCTTGAGAATGTGTAGAATCCACATCATATTTAGTCCTCTTGGTTCTTTGTGGGAAATATGCTTGGATTAGTTTTGCTATTGTTTTAGCTCTACCAGGTCAGTTCTTTTTAGAATGCAGGAAGTCATAAGTAGAGTGACCTTCTGGGTGTGTTAAATTCTTAACTTTGTGCTATATCTAGTTCCATTTTATGGTTAAATAAAACTGTCATTAACAAGCTAGGATACTTAGTTCTAACAACCAGTTTCTGTTACAGAGTGTCTTCAGGTTGTATATGATAATGATTAAATATCACTGACGTCTCATTGAAAAATACAAGGATATCAGTCTGGGCTGGGCCTAAGAAGAAGTTGACTTAAGAGTTTATAGACAAGGCTGCTTCAACATTTTTGATTCTTAAGCTCTTTTCTTTGTATCCAGCTCCCCAGTCTTTCTGGTGCCTTGTCTATCTCCTATTCCTTTTGTCTGGTTTCCAGACCACTGTTTTACAAGGTGTTCCTTAAAAGATTCTAAACTTCTTTCTATGCGTTTTGGTTAATTCTTTTACCTTTTCTCTCTTATTTGATGACCAGAACCCTTAATTTAATACATACCTTGATTCACCATTTTGTGTATATTTTGACTTCTAATTAAAAATAAATATAATTTAAATTTAATTTATAATTAAATTATTTATAATTTATTTATGATTAATTTTAATTTATAATTAAATAATTTATATAATTAAATAAATTTATAATTATGAATTTAATTTATAATTAAAAATAAATTTTAGCGACTGGATGTACCCTTACTTTACATTAATCATCCATGCCCTAGTTCTTTTCTCAGTTTACTTGCTGAATTTTTAGCCCTTCTCTGTAAGATTTGGACTACATGAAGTCTTCTCTCAAGTGCCCTGATTATCATAGCTCTTCAGTTCCTACCCATTGCTTTTATTCACAGTGCCCTCTTTTTTGATAGTTTATAACTGGTTAGCTAACCAACCAAGTAACCAAAGCAATGTTGGAAGAGTTTTTTCTGAGTTTACTATTATGATGAGTTTATAAAAATGATACTGTATATTTATGATGAATTTTTATTTTTATAAATATATGTAATATGTGTTTTAGTGTATCCCCTTTTGGCCTGAGGATGCTTCTAGTAAACTTCTTATTCAAGTTGAAAACAGTGAAGGTCCTCCCAAAAGGATATATTTTAACAAGCAAGAAAATTGTGTTTTGTTGCATCTGAATGATGAGGTAACTGTTTTTGCATGTAACATTGGAAAAGCTAATATATACTTCCTAGTATTATTTTTAACTTTTTTTATATCACATGAATACCAGATGATGTATTTTCCCTTTTCCTTAAAAGTGAACATTTTCTCTTTATAAAAGGAAAATGTATGAAGAGGAAACAAATCTAAATGATTGTTATATAGGAAATTAGTTGGAGTGCCTAAAATACACCACATCTGGAATTTCTCTCATGTACAATAGAGATTCATGGTTTTCCAGAAATGCATTACAAAATTCTGAATTGTTTTCTGAATCACCTCCCCATTAAGTTACTAAATTATGAATAGTTTTTATTATTAAATGTTCTTAGTTGCTATTCTTGGCAGGATGATCACATTAAAGAATGTTTTCCTTTCTTTTAGCTTGGAGGTATTATAGCAGAAGTTAATTTAGCTGAGCATTCTACAGTTATTACATTTTCAGATTATCATGATGGAGCAGCTCCATTCCTATTAATAAATCATACCAAGAATGACCTTGTTCAGTACAAACAAAGGTAAGATGATTACATATACAGTATAGTAACTCCTGCTTTTAACAGAGTCTAGGTGATGAGACAGTCACTTTACAATTTTTTTTAAAAAGCATTAATATTACTAATAGGGAAAGGTGGGGAGGGTAAAAGGAGGCCAGGGAATGGGGAAAAAATAAGAACCAAAATACATCATGTAAAGGTACAAGATCCCAATGATGAATGTAACTGTATTGTATGCCTAAAATGTACCAATAAAGAAAAACATTAATAATAGTATTAAAGGTATGTAAAACAATGTCTTAATTTTTTGAAAAAAAGTGTAATCAGTTGTGGGTAATTGTGGGTAATGGTAAAGCTGCCTTGATATCTGTAATTTACTTTTTTGTTGTTGTTGTTGTGTGTGTGTGTGTGTGTGTGTGTGTGTGTGTGTGTATGTTTGAGGCAGGGTCTCACTATGTGGTTGAGACTGACCTAGAACTCACTGTGTAGCACAGACTGGTCTTGAACTCATAGTGATCCTCCTGTCTCAGCCTCCCAAATGCTGGGATTATAGGCATGCTCCACCACGCCCAGCTGTAATTTACCCTAAAGTGCTTCAGAGAGAAAAACATGGAAAAACTAAAGCAAGTGTGACAAAACTTGATGATCATTGTTCAGATTTTATGAGAAATATGTCCAAGTGTATGTTGAGGCTCTTGTGTCTATTTTTAATTTTTTTAGATTTTTAGCAAATATAAATGTATATGTTCGGGTTTTTGTCAAACGGTAGATATCCTTTTCTTGCAGAGGTATATGGAGAAACAACAGCTTTGTAAAAAACAATAGTTAATCCTGATGTTTTAGGACTACTCTTAACATTGCTTCTTTCAATTTGGTGCAATATCATATTCTCCTTATGCCATTACAATTTATGCAACTTTATGTTACAATAATCCCAGGCTGTTAGCTTTCTTGTTGCCCAGACACAATATCCAACACCCACAATTTACTTTAATTTTAGTCAGTTTCAGGGAGTTCAATCCATGGTCAGCTGGCTCCAAGGCAGAAGCTTCGTGTCATAAAGGCTTGCTGGAAAGCAGAATAGGGGGAAAGGTGATCTTCTGGCCAGGGTCCGTATATATTGCCCAAACTCTTACCTCTATGACCCAGAAGTATGCTTCACCCAGGAATGATCCTGCAGGTGTTTCTTCATTCTGTGAAGTTGTCATATCAGGATTAATGGTCACATGGACTGTCTTTAATTCTGTATGGCTTTTCATTTGTCATTGTTTTCCCCCCCACCTGTTACTTTTCAGTGGTATGAGTGTTATCTAGTATCCTGCTCCTAAAAGTGGCTCACCAATTAAATGTTACCGGGTTCTGTATTGCTTGCCTTTCCTGGAGTTATGTTCCAGGTTCTTCTCATTTTGAACAAAGAATTGGACAAAACAAGCCAAAAGCAGTGACAGTTTATTTGAGAAAGTAAAAGTGAAATGCAAGGGATATACTGGCTCTGCAGAGTGAGCTTGGGCCAAGTAAAAGGAGAAAAAGCAATAAAAGGACACCCTGGAGAAAGTAGGACAGGCTATCATGAAGAAAGTTGTGATAGCAAGCTTTTCATGGCTTGCTTCTTCCTTTATATTGTACAGATCTCAAGGAAAACTGGGAGAACTTCTGCATACAAGTTCTGAGAGGTGGTGCTGGAATCCTTCACCTCAGGTTGACGTCACGTCTTAGCCATCCTATTGAAAATCTCACATTCTTATGAGAAGTCTACCTGTAGGGCTTTGGAAACTGCTCTGCTCATGTGTTCCAGGATCTTTGGAATTAACAGATCTTATCTGCTTCCCTAGATAGCTTTGCCATGCTCTGCTCTTCTATCTTATTTCCCCCTGAGACACAGATCCCCATTATGATTAATGGGATGCTGGGGGTGGGGGGACTCTGTCTTGTTATTATTTTTTTTTTCTGGTACCAAGGATCGAACTTAGGACCTTGTGCTTGCCAGGCAGGTGCTGCACCACTGAGCTACATCCCTGGCCCTATCATATATAGCTTCTTCAAGCTGGAAGGGGATATAGACTCTACCTAGTGGGGGATTATGTGCCCTCCCTAACTTGCTTTGGGTGCTGGGGCTCACTAACTGGTTTGGAGAAAGGAAAACTTGTCAGGAAACAATGAGAAAAGAATTTAATAGCCATTGATCTTCACTCTTAGTCCAAATATGAGGAGCAGGTCAGATTTCCAAGCTTCCTGTAGCAGGAAATCGAAAACAAATCTCAATTTTTCCAGATGCTGATAGAGATAGATTTCTTCTTTTGGATAATCTTTTTCTTCACACAGCTTAGTTAGGACTAGCTTTTTTCTAGAGAGATGAATCCAGTTTTCTGTCTCTGCTATCTTTACTGGAGTGGGTGTGGCAAGGATCACTGAGAAGGTACCTTTCTATTTTGGGTTTAACTAGTCAGCAAGTTTTCCCTCTCTCCAAGTTTTTATAAACACTTGGTCTCCAGGATGGACAGTAAGTGGTCCTCCTCAGCCAGGAGCTGGCAAGACTTTGTTCCCAAAGATAGTCTGTTGTATATGGCTCAAATTAATGAGGTACTGTGAAAGCCTGGTGGTCTTGGGGTCTGCTATCATGTCAGAGGATAGAAATGGCCTCTCATATAACATTTCAAATGGGCTCGAACTTAGCTCACTTTTCAACATGTTACCAATATTCATGAGGGCTATTGGCAGCAGGTTGGAGCCAGGATTCAGACTTCTCTTGGCAAAGTTTTTCCAGAGCTTGCTTTAGGGTCTCGTTGGCTCTACCTTTCCAGATTAAGGACACCAGGAAAAATTGAGGTGGTACTTTATTCCTAAAGCCTTTGCCACCCCTGAGTTATTTGGGAGCTAAAAGAAGGTCCATTGTCACTCTTCAGGGACTGGGGTAGTCCAAATCTAGGGATGTTTCTTTAACAAGCATCTTACTACCTCTGTAGCCTTTTCCGAACAGGTAGGATAGGCTTTGATCTAGCCTGTAAAGGTGTTAATTGGGACCAGCATCTGTTTAAATCCTCCACATGGTAGCATATGGACAGTCTTAATTGCCAGTTCCCTCCAGGGTATGTCCCTCTCCTCTGTACAGGTTCTAATAAAGAAGGCAATTTGGGCTTGCCAGGGTTATTAAGGCCCAGAGTGGACAAGCTTTGCAGACCTGTTGTCTGGTTGCTGCTAGTTGGAGTCCTGTGAAAACTCAAATGACCATTTCCAGTGTAGTATCTCTTCCCATATGAAAAGAATCATGAAGTATTTTTGTTGACTTGTATGTCCCTCTCCTCTGTACAGGTTCTAATAAAGAAGGCAATTTGGGCTTGCCAGGGTTATTAAGGCCCAGAGTGGACAAGCTTTGCAGACCTGTTGTCTGGTTGCTGCTAGTTGGAGTCCTGTGAAAACTCAAATGACCATTTCCAGTGTAGTATCTCTTCCCATATGAAAGGAATCATGAAGTATTTTTGTTGACTTTGTGTGTGTGTGTGTGTGTGTGTGTGTTTGTGTGTTTGTTTCTGGTACTAGGAATCGAACTTAGGACCTTGTGCTTGCCAGGCATGCGCTGTGCCACTGAACTACATCCGCAGTCCTTATGAAGTGTTTTTATAGCCTTACACTGTGTCCCTTAAGGAAGGACCAATTTGTTTTCTAAATACCACTGGCATCCCTTTTTAATTTCCCCTTGTTCTGAGGCCCATTTATTTTCTGGAGATATAATCTGGTTTTAATGATTCCTCAGGAACTGGAAATAAGGCTACAGTTTTAGGGGTTTGTAAGGCTGCCCTTTCTTGCTTCCCTATCAGCCTTTTGATTTTCCAAAGAAACTTCAAACGTGTCTCTTTTGTTCCCTTTAAAGTGCATGACTATGACCTGCTTAGGACAATGGACTGCCTGTAGGAGTTAGTTGTAGGATTTCCTTCCTGAGCTTGATATATGATTGCTCATTAGTCAGTAAGCCTTTTTCCTTCCAGATTACCACATGAGCATGTATGTCAGAAAGGCATATTTGGAATCTTTATATTTAACTTTCTACCTTTTCCTAATATCAAGGCCCAAGTAAGAGCTATCAGCTCTGCTTTTTGAGCAGAGGTTCCTGGAGAAAAGGGTTTAGCTTCCATGACCTGTTATGAGCTGACAACTGCATAACCTGCCTTTTGATATCCTTCTTTAACAAATCTACTGGGATTTGAACCACACCTCATCATTGTCTTGGTAAAACTCTAATATTCTGCCTACTTGCATAGGTCTGGGAGATGACTTGTTCACAAGAATGGCTAACTTCTGGGCCTATAAGCATCAAAGAAGCAGGGTTAATAATAGTGCAAGTTTTTATAATAACCTCAGGAGTTATCTAAGAGCACCATTTGATACTTAGTGAGCAGTTCCCTTGTTAACCACAAATAACCTTTTGTCACCAGAATTGCTCTGACCTAATGGGGAATCAGCACTTTTAGTTTCTGTCCCACAGTTAACTTTGTAGCTTCTTCTGTTAGTACAGTGTAGCTGCTGTTGCTTTCAGGCAGAGTGGCCATCCAGTAGCCACCCTGTCTAATTTCTTTGAAAAGTATGCCACTGGGTGGGATTCTTACCCTAGCTTTTGGGTCAAGACCCCAAAGCAATTCCTCCATTTTCTGTTATGTAGAGAAAGAAAGGTTTTCTTAAGTCAGATACAGTGGATCCTCATGTTACTACTGGCCCAGCATACAAACAATTTGGGTTACAACTGAATTTTTAGTTTTAACTTACAACTAAAGTCTTGAGTTATGACCCAAATGCTTTTTTCTTGTAATTGGATTTTTCCCATTCAAAGGCAAACAGAAACTGAGAGTCTGGTTGGAGGGGAATGGAGAAATAAATGCATCTTTTAAATCTAAGACTGAGAACCAGTTAATGTTCGCTGGAATTTGGGAGAGAATTGTATATGAGTCTGCCACTAGAGGATGGATTGGAATGACTGCCTCGTTAATGAGGTGGACGTCTTGTATAATTCAGTGTTCTCCTGAGGGCTGTACTACAGGGAGAATGGAAGTATTGCATGAGGACTGACAAGGCTTCAAAAGGCCATATTTGAGAAACTTGTCTATGAAAGGCTGGAGGTCCCTTTCTCAGTTGCAGACGTCTCACAGTGTGAGGAACAATTAGGCCAAGTATCAGAATACCCCAGTAAATTTGCAGCAGGTGGATTCCAAACTTTGACCCTTGCTTTTTACTTAGCACATCGAGAGGGTCAAAGAATCTTCCAAGAGGCTAGGAGCCACGCAGATAGACGAGCATTATGCATTGAAAAAGGAATGAAATCACCCTGTAGAGGCTATCCTCTCTTCAAAGGAGCCAAACTGGCACTGTAATACTCAGCATGGACTAGAAATGATGTTTGGTATGCTAGCCTGTCTCATTATGGGGGTGAAAAGACGCATTAAAATTTTTTGTAATTACAATAGAATAGGTGGAGTCTTACAGGACATATGGAAAAATTCAGCTTTGTTTCTTAACTGATTAACTTGTCAACTTTCCACAAGTATACTAATATAGATCCATCTTCCAGGGAGGGAGAAGCTCTAATGGGACATTGTTTCATCTGTCAGTCAGCCTCAGTTATTTGATGTAAGCTATAAAAACTTCAGAAGGAGCCACAGACACCTATGGCCCAATTGATGGATACAGGCTTTCCTGTATTCAATAGCTGGGACCCAGAGGAGAGACAAAGGAGACAACACCCTTTAAATCCACCCATGTCATCCAAGGAAAAACCCAGGGACAGCTGAGGAAAGGGTTCCTGTTTCAAGTGCAAGAGGACTATAGACAAGTGAGCACGAGGTTGCACCAAGCTTCCCTGGGTCCTGCACTGCATGTGATGTAGCTAATGTGCCTGATTCATAGCACTGGAGGGTTGACTATCCCCACCCAGAGAGGGGGTAAGCCAGCTAGAACTCTCATTTCCTGCTCTGGCGAATGAAGAAGCCTAGGGGAACACGCATTGCCTCTGTCCATGGACATCGTCATCTCTAAGGAATGCTGGGTAAACTTAGACATCATGGGTGAGCCAACTGAACTGCTTATTAATACAAGGATAGCTCACTCTGTTTTGACTTCATTTTCTGGAAAACTCTCCTCTAGGTCTATAGCCATAGTTTGGGTGAAAGGGACCCCTAGACAGAGATTCTTTACTCCTGCTCTGACATGTCATTTTGAAGGTCAAATATTTATCCGTGAGTTTCTATTGTGACACAGTTCTCTGCTCCTTTGCTAGGAAGAAATTTACTAGCAAAATTGGGGGCACTTTTCAAATTCCACCTAAGGCCAAAACAGATTTTACTTGTTGGGACTACACCATTCTTTGCTGACCAAATTAACCAACAAGTGGATTCTGATGCATAATACTTGGTAGGGAAAATTCTGCTAGGCCATTAAATATAAGACTAAAAGACCCTATTTTATAGAAAACCACATCTTCTCTATCCTGTCTCCAGTTGATGGGCAGTTGGGCTGTTTCCAAGTTTTAGCTATTACAAACTGCTGCTATCAACATGGGTGAGCATATATTGCTGTGGTATGATTCTTTTACTTCTTTTGGAAAGACTCCCAGCAAAGAAAGAGCTGGGTCAAATGGGACCTGTAATACTAGTTGTTTGAGGGTATCTCCATATTCAGTGGATGTACCAGTCTGCACTCCCACCAACAATGGAGAAGGGTTCCTTTCTCCCTACAACCCTGCCAGCATATGTTTCTGGTTAGAATGAGAAACTAGAGACATTTATACTAAATGGATGCAAATTAAGGCTATACTCTTAAGTGAAATAAATAGAAAATAGGTGTAAATACCAAATAGTTTCTCTGGTGTGAAAAACTAAAGTGTAGATAAGGTTCAAATTGTATAATTGATCATGCGAAATAGGAAGAAAAGGTCTAAAGGAGAAGGGCAAGTGGGAAGGGCAGGGGAAAGGAAAGAAGGGAAAAGAAAAAAAATGGAAACAAAGTCTTTATAAATAGAGAAAGGTGGGGGGGTGAAGGGAGGACAGTGGAATGTGGAAAAAATAACCAAGATTCATCATATAAAGGTACGAGATCCCAATGATAAATGTAACTGTATTGTATACCTAAAATTTACCAGTGAACTTAATGAAAAAAATTCAAAATAAAAATAAAACACCCTAGCTGGTTTCCTCATCAAAAGAAGTATCCCAAGGAAGGGACTCATAAAGGCCTCCAGCCTCTTATGGATGAGTTTCTCAAATATGGCCTTCTGAAGCCCTGTCAGTCCTCTTGCAGTACTCTCATTCTCCCTGTAGTAAAGCCCTCAGGAAAATATTGGATGGTACAAGACCTCTGCCTCATTCCATTCCATCCTCTAGTGGCAGATCCGTATGCAGTTCTCTCCCAAATTCCAAGCAACACTAATTGGTTCTCCATCTTAGATTTTTAATATGCATTTTTTCTAATTTAAATAGAAACAATAATTCATGAAGCAGCTTCAAAGACTTGAAGATCTTTATTTCTTAAGTGAAACTACCTTGAAATATTTTCCTTGAAATATTCTCATTTTCTTAGAGGATTTTATTATTAAATAAGAAGATTTTAATCTTAAACTTCCACAAATTTGTTAATGGACTAAGAATTCATGAAGTGTTAATTTGGGTTTTTTAAAAATATATTTCATGCCTCCACGTGCATCACAAGCACAGGATCCTGAGTTTGATCCCCGTTACCAAAAAACAAATAAATTTTTAAAAATTAAGAAAAGATTTCATGTTGCATTTAATTTAATGTATGTTTTTCCTGCTTATGTCAGTTCTCTTAGTGAAATTGAAGATTCTCTTACTCCTGGAAAAGCAGTGTTTTATACATGGGCTGATCCAGTGGGCTCTAGAAAGCTGAAGTGGAGTTGTGGAAAAAGTTATGGTGAAGTAACACAAACAGATGTAAGTACTGGGTTATTTTGTATTTTTAAAGGTGGACTTTTCATGAGTTTTCAGGACTGTTTTCTGGCTACACATTTAAAAATAAAAAGACTGCCAAAGAGTTTCAAAGCAATTTTAGCTTTACTTTTTAAATTTTCATCTTGTTTTCATTTTGTGAGATTCCAGCTATAAGCTAAGTACAATTGAAAACCAATAAGTACTCTACTAAAGTAGTTATATACCAAAAGATTAGAGTTATTTAAATTTACACCAATAAAAGTATGCGGCCCTTACCCAGGTGTGGTGCTCACACCTGTAATCCCAGAACTCCAGGACACTTAAGCAGGAAAATCACTCCAACTTTGAAGGTACCCTGGGTTACATAGTGACTAGAAGACCAGCCTGAATTGCATAATCAGACCTTGCTTCAAAATACACATACTTTTATTGGCTTCAAAATGAAAAAAAAAGTCTGCAGCTCATAAGCAAAGCTTCTTTATGTTTAAAGAAAGAGAAATTCATAGTATATAATAGTCCTTCCATGTGTTTATTGTACAAAATAAATTATGTCAAGCTTTGTCTTAAAAAATATTTGAAACCTAGAAGTACTGTTAATTTGTCTATATTGTTATTTGCTTCTACTGTGTTATAAAAGATAAACTCACCTAAGTGTTTTTAACATTCTCTCATATGCCAAAATCAGTGACACATGCCTGTATTCCCAGCCCTTGAAAGGCTGAGGAAGGAGGATCATCAAGAAGCTGAGGCCAGGCTAGGTTACACAGTGAGGTCTAGGCCAGCCTGAACTACATAATGAGACACTGTCTCAAAAAGCCAAAAAAAGAAAAACAAATTGCCTCATAAAGATAAATTGTCTGTAGTGGCAATCTTCTTATTTAGATTTAATTACTTAAAGATCCACTAAGTAAACTAAAGAAATGCATTTCTCAGTGTCAAGCTGTGTTGTAAGGTTGTGTGCAAACTTTCTAGTAACATAAGTAATATTCAAAAATTAAAATTCTTAAAATTTTATTTGTTCTTCAAAATTAACCCTAATTTCGCACCTATTCCAATGTCATTTTTTTTAAACTCATTATTATTTTTTCCTACCTACCAGGACGCTAGTGGTTCTCTAATTTGCATTTTAGAGGAGCTATAAAAGAGTTCATTGTTGTGCCTTTGTTTTAGGGTTTTTGTCTGTTATTTCTTTTTTTAAAGAAAATATCCTGTATCAGTTGAAAATGGTTTCATTCTACTCATTTGTTAAAATGTGTGACAGTGTACATACACGTAAATGGATGAGTGCTGAATTTTTAATCAGATGGTTATTTTATCTACTGCACATGATTGTTGAAATTTATCTTATTTTGAGGGTTAATTATATGATTTATGTTTGCTAACAGGACAACGTCACATTTAGGGTTTTTGTTTTGTTGTTTGGATTTTTTGTTTTTGTTTTTTTAGTTTATTGGTACATTTTAGGTACGTAGTATAGTTACATTCACTATTGGGATCTTCTACCTTTACATGATAGGTCTTGGTTCTCATTTTTTTCCCCTTATCCCTGCCTTCCCTTCGTCCGTTCCTCCCTTCCCCATTTGCAAACACTTTTTTTCATTTTTTCATTTTCTCATATTTTTTTTCTTTTCCCTTATTACCTTTCCCCTACCCTTCCCACTTTCCCTACAACTTTAGCCCTTTTCTTCCTAGTTCACATTGTCAGTTATCTCATTAGGATCTTATGTACTATTATAGTTTATTCACACCAGAGAAACTATTCAGTATTTACACATGTGACTTATTTATTTCACTGAGGAGTGTATCCTCAAATGTATCCATTTTGCTATGAATGAATCTCATTTCTCATTCTTTATGGCTGAGTAGTATTCCATTTTATAAAAGAACCACATCTTCTTTATCTGGTTTCCAACTGAAATGTAATTAAAAGTTTACCTACAAAGAAAAGCCCAGGTCCTGATGGATTCACTGCTGAATTTTACAAAACATAGAGAGAAGAACTACTGCCACTACTCTTTAAACTTTTCGATGAAATTGAAAGGGAAGCAATACTTCCAAATTCATTCCTGGAAGCAAGTATCACTTTGATTCCCAACCCAGGGAAAGACCCAACTAAAAAAAAAAAGAACTACAGGCCAATCTCCTTAATGAATATAGATGCAAAATTCCTTAATAAGATACTAGCAAACAGAATACAGGGGATCATCAAGAAGATCATACATACTGACCAAGTCGGATTTATACAAGGGATGCAAGGATGGTTCAACATACGGAAGTCAATTAATGTAATACACTATAGTAACAGAATCAAGGACAAACCCATATAATCCTCTCGATAGATGGAGAAAAAGCATTTGACAGAAGTCAACACCCGTTCATGATAAAAACCCTGCAAAAAACTGTAATGGATGGTCTATATCTCAACTTAATAAAGGCTATCTATGAAAAACCAACAATCATCATCAAATTAAATGGCCCAAAACTGAAAACCTTCACGTTAAAACAGGAACAAGGCAATGATGCCCACTATCACCATTCTTCTTCAATATAGTTCTGGAAACATTAGCCATAGCAATTAGACAAGAGAAAGAAATTAAAGCAGTAAAGATAGGAAAGGAAGAAGTTAAACTGTCATTATTTGCTGACGATATGATACTCTACATTGAAGATCCAAAAAACTCCACCAAAAGACTGCTTGACTTAATTGACACTTTCAGCAGAGTAGCTGGATACAAAGTCAACACTCAAAAATCAATAGCCTTCTTGTACACAAATAACAGACTCTGAGAGAGAAATTAGGGAAACAATTCCTTTCACAATAGCATCCCAAAAAATGAAGTGTCTAGGAATCAATCTAATGAAAGAAGCAAAAGACCTCTACAGCGAAAACTACAGCACTCTGAAAAAAGAGATCGAAGAGGATATAAGAAAATGGAAAGATATCCCCTGCTCCTGGGTAGGAAGAATCAACATAGTGAAAATGGCCATACTACCAAAACTGCTATACAGATTCAATGCAATGCTGATTGAAATTCCAACACTATATTTCACAGAACTAGAAAAAAGAATCCAAAAATTCATTTGGAACCAGAAGAGACCTAGAATAGCAAAAGCTATCCTAGGCAACAGTCATAGCAGCGGGTATAACAATTCCCAATTTGAAACTATACTACAAAGCCATTGTGATAAAAACAGTATAGTACTGGCAAAGAAACAGATCTGAGGATCAGTGGAACAGACTGGAAGATACAAAAACAACTCCAGGTGTACTCAGCTACCTCATCTTTGACAGAGGAGCTGACCATCCTCACTGGAGGCAAGATAGCCTCTTTAATAAATGGTTTTGGAAAACCTGAATTTCAACCTGCCAAAGATTAAAACTAAACCCTTATCTTTCACCATGCACTAAGCTAAAAATCCAAGCTGATTAAAGATCTAAATATTTGATGTTTTTTTTTGGTTTTTTCTTTTTAAAATTAGTTTTATTGGTATATTTTAGATATATACAATGATAACATTCATCATAGTGAATTTGTGCATGATATATCTTAATTCTTTTTCCCATTCACCTCCCCTCCCTTAAACCCATCTTCCCTTCCTTATTTGCAAATGCTTTGTTTCCACTTTTTTCCTTCTAGTCTCCTTTTATTTTCCTTTCCTTCCTTAGTCCCTCTCCCCTCCCTAGTTCCCTTTCCCATTTGAACATTTTCTTCGTATTTCACAATATCTTTTATACATTCTAGCCTTTATTTACCCTTTTAGTTTCTCACATCAGAGAAACAGTTCAATACTGAAACATTTGTCCAATTTATTTCATGTAAGACTATGGTCCCAAGGTGCATTCATTTGCCTAGAGATGTCTCAAGTTCATCCTTCTTTATGGCAGAGTAGTACTTCATTGTATTAAAAAAAACACATCATCTTTGTGCATTCATCAGATGATAGTCTTTTGGGGTGTTTGCAAGATTTAGCTGTTATAGATTGCTGCTATATAAGCATAGATGAGTATATATTACTGGTAGTATAGTCCTTTTTATTCTTTCAGGAAGATACCAACAAGGGGGATAGCTGGGTCAAATGAAACTTCTAGTTTTAATGTTTTTAGAAATCTCCATACTAATTTCCACAATGGTTGCACCAGTCTGCATTCCCACCAAGAGTGGAGAAGGGTTCCTTTTTCCTAGTAGCCCTGCCAGCATTTGTTATTGGTTGATTTATTTATAATAGCCATTCTTTCTGGAGTAAAATGGAATCTAAGTTGCTTTAATTTGTATCTCTAGAATGACCAGTGTTGTTGAACATTTTTTCATATATTTATTTGCCATTTGCATTTCATCTGACAAGTATCTATTCATTTCAGTTTCCTATTTTTAGATTGGGTCTTTAAATTTGGGGGGGGAATCTGATTTTTTTATCTCAATATATTCTAGATATTAGTACTTTCTCTGAGGAACAGCTGGCAAAAATTTTTTTCCACTCTGTAGGTTGTCTCTTTACTCTATTGGTGGTTTCTTTTGCTGTGCAAAAGCTTTTTAATCAAATGAGATCCCAGTTATTGATTCTTTGTGATATTTCCTGTGCAATCAGGGTTTTGTTTTTAAAATTTTTGCCTATGTCTATGTCTATGTCTTCAAGAGTTCTACCTATTCTCTCTTTCATAACAGTTACGGTTTCTGTTTATTTAGAGACTGGATAAAGAAGATGTGTGTTTTTTTTTTCCTATAAAATGGAATACTACTCAGCCATAAAGAATGAGTAACTAGAAATATTTATAGCTAAATTAGGTTATATTCTTAAGTGAAATAAATAGGACACACTTGAGTACCGAATAATTTCTCTGGTGTAAAAAACTATAAGTGTAAATAAGGTTCAAATGGTATCACTGGGAGTGTGAAAATGTCTAAAGGGGAAGTGAGCAGGGGAAGGGAAATGAAATAGGGAAAAGAAAAAA